TTGCCGAGGTTGGAGTGCAATGGCACGATCTCAGCTCACTGCAACCTCTGCCTCCCAGGTTCAAGTGACTCTCCTACTTCGGCCTCCCAAGTAGCTGGTACTACAGGGGTGTGCCACCATGCATGGCTAATTTTTGTATTTTTAGTAGAGACAGGGTTTCACCATGTTGGTCATGCTGGTCTTTAACTCCTGACCTCAAATGATCCTCCCGCCTTGGCCTCCCAAAGTGCTTGGATTACAGGTGTGGGCCACTGCTCCTGGCTGTATTTCTAATCTGTGGTACATCTCATCTGGTGTATTTTTCATCGAATACATCATATTTTCACTACTAAATGATTTCATTTTTTAAATGTCTTTTCTTTAGTTAACATGCTTGCTATGGTTGAAATGTGTCTCCCAAATTCATGTGCTGGAAATGTAAGCCCCAATGAAACAATGTTGGGAGGTAGGGCCTAATAAAAGATGATTGGATCATGCGGGTAGAGCCCTCATTAATGAATTAATGTTATTACTACAGTGAGTTAGTTACCATAAAAGTGGGTTGTTATAAAGTGACGCTGGCCCCTGGTGCATCTATCTTGTGTACTCACTTGCCCCTTCTGCCTTTTGCTTTCTGCCAAGGGATGACTAAACAAGAAGGCCCTCAACAGATGCTGGCATCAAGTTCCTGAACTTTCCAGCCTCCAGAACCATGAGCTAAATAAAGGCCTGTTATTTATAGATTACCTGGTCTGTGGTATTGTTATGGCAACAGTAAACGGACTAAGATAGAAAATTGGCACTGAGAAGTGGGTCTATTGCTATAACAAATATCTGAAAACATAAAAGTAGCTTTGGAACTGGATAATGGGTAGAGACTGGAAGAATTTTGAGGAGCATGCTAGAAAGAGCCTGTATTGCCATAAATGGAGCATTAAGGGTGAAGTCTCAGAAGAGAAGAGATATAGGGAAAGTCAGAATCTTCTTAAAGATTACTTCAGTGGTCACGATTGTTGATAGAGATATGGACACAGTCTCTGATGTGGACAGTAAATGGCCTTTACTGTCTACATCTCTACCAACATTAACAGTAAATGGCCTTTACTGTCTATATCTCTACCAACATTAACAGTAAATGGCCTTTACTAGCAATATATCTACCAACATTATATTTAATATTGGTAGAGGCCATTCTGATGAGGTCTCAGACAGAAATGAGAAACAAGGTATTGGAAACTTGAATAAAGGGCATCTTTGTTATAAAGTAGTAATGGTGGAACTGTGTCCATGCCTGACGGCTTTATGGAAAGCGGAATTTGAATGACAAACTAGGATATCTGGTGGAAGAGATACCTAAGCAGTTAAGCATTCAGGCTGCTACATGGCCATTTTTAATCACATATAGTGAGATACAAGAACAAAGGAATGACTTAAAGACAGAATTTATAATTTAAAAAGAAGCAGAGTGAAAGATTTGGAAAATTTATAGCCTAGCCATGTAAAATATAAAAAGGTACATTTAGGAGACTGAACTCAGAGCGTGGCCCAGAGACTGCTTGCTGAAGAGATTAGCGTGAATGGAAGGGAGCCAGATGCTATTCACCAAGGCAATGGGAGAATGACCTCAAAGCTATTTCAGAGATTTTCGAGGCTGCCCCTCCCATCACAGGTCCAGAGCTCTAGGAGGGCAGAATGATTCTGGAGGACAGGCCTGGGGTAACGTCCATAGGCTCACTGCCCAGAGCTGCCTTGGAACTCTGCTCCCTGCATTCCAGTGCAGCATTCCTCAGCTGCCCCAGGCACAGCTCATGTGGGACCAGGTTGGTTTGGATTGCTGTTTTGGAGGGCACAAGCAGTAAGCCTTGGCAATGTCTACATGGTGCTAACTCTGCAGGGATGAGTGCATGGGTGGTGGGGTCATGGCAGCTTCCACTTAGTTTTCAAAAGATATATCAAACAGCTTGAGGCCCAGGAAGAAACTTATTGCAGGGGAAGAGCCACCACAGAGAGTCCCTACTAAGGCAATGCGTAGCAGGAATGTGTGGTCAGAGCTGTTACAGAGAGTTCCCACCAGGGCAGCACCTAGTAGAGCCCAAAACTCTAGAGCTACCCTTGTGTAACCCCAGCCTGGGAGAGCTGCAGTCATGAGACTCCAAACCAAGAGAAAGCCATGGGGACCTGGCTGCCTGAGGCCTTGGGGGCCCAATCCCCAAACCAGTGTGCCCAGGATTTAGAACATGGAGTCAAAGGAGATTATTCTCCAGCTTTAGGACTAAATACAGGTTTTTCTCTGCTGGGTTTTGGACTTACTTGGGGCCTGTTGCTGCCATATATTCCATTCTGCAATGTGTTGTATTCACTTCATAAATTCATACCCACGGATTCTCAGTAAATACATGTTGTGTGTGAATAAAAACTATGGATCACTATTTATTCAGCCACCTATGGTTGGGCGTTTAACTCTAGCTTTTCACAATTATAAATAATGTTGTAATGAATGTCCTCCTATAAATAAATCCATACAGTCGCTTGAATATAGTTATAAGGTAAATTTCTCTTTTTTTTTTTTTTGAGATGGAGTTTCGCTATTGTTGCCCAGGCTGGAGTGCAATGGCATGATCTCGGCTCACTGCAACCTCTGCCTCCTGGGTTCAAGTGATTCTCCTGCCTCAGCCTCCTGAGTAGCTGGGATTACAGGCATGTGCCACCATGCCTGGCTAGTTTTGTATTTTTAGTAGAGATGGGGTTTCTCCATGTTGGTCAGGCTGGTCTCGAACTCCCAACCTTAAGTGATCTGCCCGCCTTGGCCTCCCAAAAGTGGTGGGATAACAGGCGTCAGTCACCGCGCCCAGCTGGTAAATTTCTAGTAGTGAAATTGCTTGGCCAATATCTATGTATTTTCAATAGTGTACTGGATTTCTTTTTCTTGCCTTTTCTGATCTGCTCTCCACCTTCTTCCAACCTACTTTCTTCCCTGGAAGGCTGATCCAGATGAAGAGGGTTAGCCTGTTCATCTTAACTTCTGGCTTCAAAACGGATGTGACCATTAGTCACTACCAGCAGAAAGTCAGAGGGCAAGGAGTTAGAGGTCAGGTGGGCTTCTCCACTAGCAACTATTCATCTTGATTTTATAAGCCTCTTTCTTCCAGGCCCTCCAGGCCCTCCAGGCCCAGGGGTGGGAACAGCTCTCTGCCGTTACTAGTCCCATGGTCCCATTCTATCTCATGTGAGGTTTCAAAAACCTTGCCCCTATCTTTGTAAATAGTCCCTTTTAAAAGCCCCCTTCAAACTACCCAGCTTGGGAGGGCCATCTGTTTCCTACCAAGATCCTGACTGATAAAGCGAGATTTTGCCAAACTGCCTTAAAAAACGTCTGTATATTCTTACACTTCCACCAGCAGTGTCTACAAGTGTCTGCTCCCCCACATCTTTTTATTATAGTGTATAATGAATCTTCTTAAAACATTACATTTTAATTATAAAATATTTATTAATAAAATGCAGAAATCCTTTAGATTTACAGAGGGCAATATTTGACATCCCCAACTTCGATCTCCTTTATTCTGTTTATTCTTTATTCTTATTTTTAGCTGAGGTATTTTGTTTCATTAAACCATAGTTTAGTTTCTTTTTTTCTTTTTTTTTTTTTGAGACAGTCTCACTCTGTTGCCCAGGCTGGATGGCAGTGGCATGATCTAGGCTCACTGCAACCTCCACCTCCCAGGTTCAAGCGATTCTCCAGCCTCAGTCTCCTGAGTAGCTGGGAGTACAGATGCGTGCCACCATGCCCCACTAATTTTTGTATTTTTAGTAGAGACAGGGTTTTACTGTGTTGTCCAGGCTGGTCTCGAACTCCTGACCTCGTGATTCTCCCGCCTCAGCCTCCCAAAGTTCTGGGATTACAAGCGTGAGCTACCTTGCCGTAGGAATCTTGCTGTCTTCTAGTAAGCTCATTAAAGAGATTTGCAAAAACGTAAAACTATGTTACTCCTCTCGCTGAGCTTTTATTGCTTTGAAGAACATTATTTTTTGCATAAAAGTATGTTAACATGTAATGTGTTTTATCGTCATTTAAAAATGGATATTTAAACATTTTCTAAGTTTTAATTTCTAATGTGGTAAATATTGATAAGTATAACCCATATCAACAAATGTTCTTTGGAGTGTTCAACAAATTTTAAGAGCATCAATGGTTCCTAAATCAAGAGTTTCAGAATCACTGTTCTAGGGCAATTTACCTGAGTTTGATTTTACTTACAATTCATTAAAGCGTAGACACTAGGAAGACGTGTTAACCTGCATGTTTTATTCTAGAAGAGGTGCAAATCATTTATATCCACTATAAATGATAACCTATGGTTTTATCATCTTGTACAACACCAGCCAGCTTTGTATCCAACCTAATCTTACTCTAATGCTTTGTCAAAATGTTTAAAGTCCACTTCCTCAAAATGCTTTTGAACCACTTTGCCAGACACTAACAACATATACATACATGACGTATATATGCATATACATACTATACACACACACGTGCATATTTCACAACGATGGCATACGGATTTCCTATTCTGAATCTAGCTCTTTCCACTTGATATACGTGAACGCACTCACTCTTTTCTTCGTCGTCTTGACTTTCTTCTGATGCAACGCCCTGAGTTTAACTCACAGCTCTATTAATAAGAAACCCATAGATCCCACATATATGCATTTTCCCGTATCTGGCTCACTAACAAAAAGCTTACCGCAGCCCCAGCTTTAACCACAGGTTCCGAATACCCAGGCGGGAATTGAACACAGAAATAAGAAAGGCTCCACAGACAATGTGACAAAAATCCGAGCAGTCACGTGACACTGCACGCCCCATAATTTTTTTCGCCCTCTTCAAACATGGCGGCCAAGCGACCGCAGCGCAACAGCAGCCACGGGCCTCCTTCCGCGTAGGAACCTCAATGCTGACTTTATCGGGCTCTTTTGTCAAAGACCACCTCAGGGCAAAGCCCGTGGGGCAGCCGGGCCCGGGGAAAACAGCCAGGGGTCTCAGGGGCCGAACAAGCACGGACCGGAAGTTCTGCAGCCACGCCGTCCGGCGGAGCCGTTGGCTGCGGACGCCGGAAGTGGCCAGTCGGCAGGTCTGAGGCGGCGCTCTGTGTGTGAAGCGTACCTAGGGCGGGAGGCGACATGGAGCCCGGGGCGGCCGAGCTGTATGACCAGGCCCTTCTGGGCATCCTGCAGCACGTGGGCAACGTCCAGGATTTCCTCCGCGTTCTCTTTGGCTTCCTGTACCGCAAGACAGACTTCTATCGCTTGCTGCGCCACCCGTCGGACCGCATGGGCTTCCCACCCGGGGCCGCGCAGGCCCTGGTGCTGCAGGTGAGGCGGGCGGGCCTGCGGTCTGGGGAGCCGCCGCCCCCGGCCTGCCTTGACTCTTGGCGCCCGCTCCTCCAAGCTCTCCCAGCCTGTTTCCTCCTTTTCCTGGTGTCCTGGGGTTGAGCTTTCGAGAATGGCTTCAGTAATTTGAAGCGCGGATTGGATGTCAGTTTATTCCTCTGAGGGAGCAGCCGGGGTTCGCTCCGGACGTCCTGAGGTTTCAGAAGTAGTAAGCCGACTGTTAAGAGCCCTCCTCAGCACCCGGCAGCGCGTACCCCTCACGGTGCTGGGGGCTGCTAGTCAGGGAGTAAAATCCATGCAGGCCAGACAGAAGGAAGGACATTTACAGCAACAGAAACGTGCATGCCCCAGAACTACCAAAGACTTGAGCTGGCGGTGATGACGGAGGCATTGTGTGAATCAATGGGTGTGGCCGCTTGTTTGACATGTGATTTCCCAGGTCAAAGACTGTCATTGTAGTGATTATTAAAATTTCATTTGAACTTAATTCTGTACCTTCCAGGTTAAGTTTATTGTATGTTGGAAGCGCTGTCAGTACTCATTCAGTAAAGTTGACTGGGCACTTTTGAATGTACTAAGCAACCGTTTGCTGAATGTAGTTTACACTCTTAGGTACGGGTGATAGGGGTGTTTAAGTAGTGGTTTCTCTCTGTTTGTGACACTTACAGTTAGGGGAAACCCAGAAAGTAATAGAAGACTTTGTAAGGGCAATTATTTGATGGAGCCCATTGTAAAGAAAGGAGATAGAAATGATGGTTGAGAAGTGAAGAAGGTTTTATAAGAGAGATGGGACTTCTGATGAGATTGAAAGAAACTATTCGGCCAAGCATTAAGCCTGTTTGTAGAAACCCAAGAAGACAGAAATGCTGACGATACCTCCCCCAGTTCTCTAGATGTTACAAGTTATAAAATGCTTCAGATGTTTCCTCCTGAAATCTTAATGCATGCTGCAGGTTGATCGGATGTTACTTTCCTCAGTAGAAGCCAAAGCTTTGACTGTCTTGGTAACTACCAGGGTAATAGGGCCAAATGAAGAATGGGGTTCCATTAGGGTTCAATTTCAGAACTTAAGGCTATTCCTCATCCTTGTCAGTGGCATAAGTGCCATCTACGTGATCAGAGAGCTGTTGGAGGTGGCCTTTAGCAGGACCTTACGGCAGGTTAATGAAGTCTTGCCATTTGATCTTCAGTGTCTCTGTGAAATAGGTAAGTTTCAAGTTTACATACCAATTCAGCAAGGTTAAGTGATTTGACCGAGAACACACAGCCATTCACCGTAGAGCTGGAACTAAAAATTTCATTTTGTGAATTCCAAATCTTCCTGTTCTATTATTTAACCATTCCATAGTAGCATGAGAACACTTTTGTCCAGGATGATTGTAGTTTGCAGAAAGGTGTGGAGGAGAAAGGAGTATATACTAATATGTATAGTGTCAGATGTTTTATATTCTGGAGTTGTTGTCTTACTTAACCCTTAACATAACCTGAGAGGTTGATCTTTGTTTCACAGATGAACTGACAGAGGTAGTGCACTCATTTACCTGGTAACTCATTTACCTGGTAACACCTCTTATAAGACACTTCCATAGGTTAGGGTTTGGTGACCAGTCTAATGAAGTAGTGGACATGGGGAGCAGGGATGGAGGAAGGGGAGGGATGGGTCAATGATGATCCAAGGTTTAAACTTGGGTGACTGGAATAGTGATAATGCATTAACTGAACTGTCACCTGGGTTTAGGGGAAAAAGTTCAGTTTTAGACAGGTTGAACTTGAAGTTCCTGGTAGGAGTCCCTGCCCATAGGCTATTGGAATTACTGGACTAGATCTTTTGGGAGCTAGAGCAACTGGAGTGGTTCGAGGGAGAGAGAAGAGCCAAAGGTGAAGAACAGGTCTTGGGGAATAATCTTGGTGGAGAGCAGTAAGTTTCACAGAAACCCAAGAGGACAGTCTTCAGCAAATGGTTAAGAGAGGTGTCATGTTTTCTGGAAGTGGTTCTCAACCATCAGCATCGCTTAAGGAACTTTTTTTTTTCCCCCGGAGACAGAGTCTCACTGTCACCCAGGCTGGAGTGCAGTGGCATGATCTTGGCTCACCGCGACCTCCACCTCCTGGGTTCAAGCAATTCTCCTGCCTCAGCCTCTTGAGTAGCTGGGATTGCAGGCATGCACCACCACGCTCGGCTAATTTTTGTATTTTTAGTAGAGATGTGGTTTCACCATGTTGGCCAGGCTGGTCTCAAACTCCTGACCTCGTGATGTGCCTGCCTCAGCCTCCCAAAGTGCTGGGATTACAGGTGTGAGCCGCTGCACCCGGCCAAGGAACTTTTAAAAACACATATTCCTGGATATTTTGGTTGGGTAGATCAGGGTGAATCCTGGCAACCTGTTCTTTTTTTTGTGTGTGTGTGAGATGGAGTCTTATTCTGTTGCCCAGGCTGGAGTGCTGTGGCGCAATCTTGGCTCACTGCACCTCCACCTCCCGGGTTCAAGTGATTCTCCTGCCTCAGCCTCCCGAGTAGCTGGGATTACAGGCATGCGCCACTATGCCCGGCTAATTTTTGTATTTTCGGTAGTAGAGATGGGATTTCACTACATTGGCCAAGCTGGTCTTGAACTCCTGACCTCAGGTGATCACCCACCTCGGCCTCCCAAAGTGCTGGGATTACAGACATGAGCCACCGTGCCCGGCCGGAACCTGTTCTTTTATCCACAAAACCTCATTTGGCAGGAGGCTTGTAAAGGTGATTTCAGTATTGACAAGGATTTTGTTGTGGGGTAGGACAACACTGAATGAGACTGAGTGACTTGGTACCAGCATAACATTATTTCTGTGTGGTAGTAGGTGATCTCCTGACCTCCCCACTCCTACTCATCTGCCTCTTAGGATTTTTTTTTTTTTCTGTCCCTAACTTGATGGCATAAAACTGCTTCCTGTGGTCTGCCCCTCTACCCCGACCAGAAGTGGGATGCTTGGTGTCTCTGCTGAATATAGGCAGAGAAGAATTTGGATGGGAGTGCTGGGCTGCATCATTGTGGAACTTCAAAGTGTTCCCTTAGTATTTTGGGGAGTGCAGTGTTGGTGTAGAGTTAGGCAGCTCATACGTTTCCTCCTAAGAGTTTGCATAGCCTGAATACACAGCTTGAAGAACCTCAGTAGGAATGATGTATGTGAAAATTGCATTCCACTTTATAATACATTAGTATGTTTTAAGACAAAAATAGTTTAGACCGACAAGCCATTCATTGTAATCGATAATGCTGTTTTTTTTTTTTTTTTTTTTTGGAGTCCACTTTGAGAAGTGCTCCTTTGTAGAAGTCCTTGAAACTAGAATCAGGAAAGCTAGCTACATCCTGTTCCTCACATAAATTGTTGGGAAATCTTGGGAGAGTCACTTCACCTCTTGTCAGCTGAGAAGATTGATTGGAGGTCGCAGATTGGCGTTCTCTTCCAGCTCCATGTTCTGTGACTCTAGAATGAATACTGAGAACACGTGATGGTTGGGAGGTTGGCAGTGGTAGCACTTCCTGGTGGTGTGAATGGGTAGGTCAGAGAAGGCTGGATGTACTAAGTGAGCAGAGGCAGTGGCATGGTGAGGACTATCAAGTCTGGGGATTCTGTGTTAGAAGTCTCAGGTGTTAGGAGAGAGAGTTCTTGTTGCTTTGCTTTTGTGGAGTTAAGATGAGCTGGAGTATCAGGAGGATGAGCAACTCTGACAGCAATGGACTCAAAGCGGTAGAAACATGAATGTTAGAATGTAGTCAGGGCTTCAGGTTATCTGCAGAAGTAAAAGTGGTTCTGGTGTTGTTTCCAGTTTTTAACCTTTTAGGATTTTATTGATTTTTTTTTTCCCCTCTGCGTACATCATCATCTCCTTGCACTGTTTGGTGCGTGCTGCGTAATTTTTTACTTCTTTTGCCAGCAGGAGCTGGGGCAAGTTACTTAACCTTTCCAAGCCCTATTTTTTCTCATTTTTGAAATGTTGATGCTGTCTTCTTCACAGGATTTTTGTGAGGGTTTTGAGAGAATGTTTGTAGAATCATTTGACACAGTCTGTTAGCACCCTTTTGACTGCCTGTGCAGTGCACAGAACATTGTTATTTAATACCTGTCCACATTCTAGCCCTTTAGAATCTGACTCCCACCCATGTCCCAGGTTGCTCTCTCAGCCTTTCCTCCCTCCAGTTGTTGCAAGAGTTTTTGCCATTCCTTGACAAGCCTGTTCTTGGAGCTATGGCGTTTCCTCCAATGGTTCCCTATGGAAGATGTGCCTCTCATTCAAGGTCTAACTGGAATGCTCCTTGTTCCAAGAAGTCTCCCTAGATTTCTTTTGCCAGATATGCTCATTCCCACCCATACTCTGACAGGGAATTAAGGGCTCTGTCACGCCCCCTCTTGTATCAGAGTTTTCATGTGTGGGTATGTCTTCACTGTACTTTTTTGGTAGAGAGGTCCCAGCACCTTCATGGGTGTGACTGTGTCCCAGAAAATGTTAAGAACTTATTTACACACCAGAATTTTGAGTTCTTAGGAGGCAGCAGAAATCATTTTCATGTTTTTTTTTTTTGTTTGTGTGTTTCTTGCACACTGTAGGCACGTAGTAGATGTTTGTTGAATTGAATGTCCATGCAGTGTGGTGAAAAATAGCAGCAGTCCAGTAAACCTGGTTGCATTTGGAGAATTGAAGTTCAGCCATATTTTCATGTTTCATTTGTGAGTCTGAATTTTGGATCCTTTATAACCCACAGTTGTACCAGGACCGTGTATTCTTTGCATTGTGAACAAAACTGGGGTCTGTAAAAATAATGACAACAAAGACCATCTAACTGTGCATATTTTAGGTTTGTAAATATTGTTAGCCTTGGTTTGTAAGTTTTTGATTTTGTTGATTTTGGAATCCTCCTGTTAAACACTGTTTACCTGTCAGCTTTTGGTGAAGTGGCAGTGCATTTCCATTTTTCAAGTGGGAAAACTTGTCAGTTTATGACTTTTAGTTCTCTCCTTAACAGATTTTACCACATTTCTACAAGATATGTGGTACAGTATTGGGCAGATGAACTGATTGCTGGGTTGCTGTTTGATTTTAGGTATTCAAAACCTTTGACCACATGGCCCGTCAGGATGATGAGAAGAGAAGGCAGGAACTTGAAGAGAAAATCAGAAGAAAGGAAGAAGAAGAGGCCAAGACTGTGTCAGCCGCTGCAGCTGAGAAGGAGCCAGTCCCAGTTCCAGTCCAGGAAATAGAGATTGACTCCACCACAGAATTGGGTGGGCGTCAGGAATTAGAGAAAGTGCAGCCTCCAGGCCCACAGGACCCTGTGAAGGAAATGGCCCATGGCTCACAGGAGGCAGAAGCTCCAGGAGCAGTTGCTGGTGCTGCTGAAGTCCCTAGGGAACCACCAGCTCTTCCCAGGTGGGAATTTCTACTTTGCAGCTTCCTTCTTTCTTGCTTGACAGCTGGTGTTTGTGTTTGTCCATAATTCATTCTTTGTAACACATCAATTCTTGATGTCAGTATTTATTTAGCTCTTCATATTTGCAAACTGCTGCATTACAGTCTTTCAGTTACGTAGGATGGGAGGTCAGTTGGCTTAAGGTCAATTCCCTCATTAGGTAAGGTCAGTAGTCATACAACCATTTGAGATACAGAGCCAAAATTAGAGCACTTGACTCCTCTCACAAAGACCTAACTTTATCTGTGTTTAGAGGCTTAGCCTCATCAGCTCTATTGTTTGTGTTTTTCTCTCTGCAGGAGCACTGCTAGGATGTGCTCATAGTGCCTGAGGTATAATGGACACCTGAAATGGCAGTCTGTTTTAGGTGACTGGATTCACATCCTGGCTATGCTGCTTCCTGAATGTATTACCTTGAGCAAGCAGTATAATCTTTCTGTGTCTCAGTTTTCTCCTCTGTAAAATGTCGGTGATAATAATAGTACCTGTCTTATAGAGCTGTTGTGAATTTTAAATGAGCCGATAGTCAAGCAGCTAATGAGCAGTAGAGCTTGAATGTGACATAAGGTTTCCCTGAATCAAGCCTCATGCTGTACTTGTACTCACTTTTTAGGAGTTAATGTTTCGTGGGTGCTCTAAACTTAGTTATACAGTCCTTCCTTGCAGTCTGAGTGAGAGGAGCTGATCCCTTCTTGTGTGGGAGTTGTAGCAGTGTCTGCAAGACAGCCATGAGCCTCTTGGCCTGCTTTGTTTTTTGGAAAATTCACTCTTCCCTCTTTGATAGGATGGGTCACCTGTGTCCCCCCGAATCCCTGCCACCTTGAGTTCTCTTCTGTTTTTCTTACTCCTGTGCTCTCTTTCTGACCTGTTTTGGGGGAGATTGTGTGTGTGCATGCACATTTTTAAATAGAAACCGGATCTTACTCTGTTGCCCAGGCTGGAGTGCAGTGGTGTGATCATAGCGCAATATATGAATTGAACTCTTGGACTCCAGCAATCCTCTCGCCTCAGCCTCCTGAGTAGCTGGGACCGTAGGCATGCACCACCACATCTGTTTAATTTTATAATTTTTTGTAGAGATGTCTGCCATTATACCTGGCTAAATTTTTAAAAGATTTTCTTGCTGTATTGCCTAGGCTGTGGGGGAGTTTTTGAATTTTTTTTTTCTAGTTAGTGAAGCAAAGTGAACAACTTGGAATGGCTTATAAAATATGGAGTAAGAGAAAATAAGTTTTGTAAAGACAGGAGGGGCAAGATTGCAGAGTCTTAAAGGCCGGGCTAACTAATGAAGTTCAGAGAAAACAATTGTTTGATGGTGGAACCAAATTGATGGAGAAGGGGAGCAGTTCTTGAATATGGAGCTCTGGATGAGAAGGGGTGAAATAAAGATTTAGAGATTGGAAGTGGGAAATATAGGGTGGAAGGCAGACATCTGATATTTCCTTGCAGATCTTTTAAAAATATTTTTTGTAGTACAAATCTGCTGATAGTGAATTCTTTCAGCTTTTTTGTCTGAAAATGCCTTTATTTCATCTTGCATGTCTGAGGATATTTTTGCTGGATATAGAATTGCAGTTGACACTTTTTTTTGTTTTTGTTTTTCTTTAAACATTTTAAAGACTGTAATTCCATTGTCTTCTAGCTTGCACTGTTTCTGATGAGAAGTGAGTAGACATTCTTTGTTTCCCTGTATGTGAAATATCCCCATTCTTTTGTTATATCAGCTGCTTTTAAGTTATTATCATTAGTTTGAGCAGTTTAAGATTTACTCAGGCATGATTTTCGTTGTGTTTATACTATTTGGGGACTTTTGTGCCCACCCCTCAAGCCCAACACACACACACACACACACACTTAGGAGGTCTGTTTTCTCTTTGTCCTTCCTTTGGAATATTTTCTGTTGACCTGCCTTCAACTTTACTGTCTTTTCTCCTTATAGTGTCCAATCTTTAGTTAAACTCATCTAGTAACTTCTTAATTTCAGATAGTTTATTTTTCAACCCTGCTGGTTCCCTTTGATTGTTTTTTATGGCTTCGATTCCTACCTTGGTTTTCCTTTAAATCCTTCAGTATACTTACAATAGTTTAAAGTCTTTATCTGCTAATTCCATTATCTCTGTGATTTCTTGGTTTATTTCTATGGATTGAGTTTTCTCCTGATTTTGGGTCACATTTTCTTTTTCTTTCAAATGTCTGATAATTTTTGATTGGATGCTAGACATTAACAAATGTTATGCTGTCGAGTCTCTGGGTTTTGGTTTCTTCTGTTGAGTGTTGAGTTTTGTTCTTGCAGGCAATTAATTTATTTGCTGATCAGAATGATCTTTTTGAAGCTTGGTTTTTATTTGTATTGATTGATCAATTGATTGTAGAGATGGAGTCTTAATGTTACCCAAGCTGATCTGGAACTCCTGGTCCCAAATGATCTTCCCACCTTGGCTTACCAAAGTGCTGGGATTATAAGTGTGCACCAATGTGTCTGGCCTTGTTTTTCAGTTTTGTTAAGCTGTGTCTAGGGTGCTTTTATTTTAAAGCTAGCTTAGTCTTCTAAGACATGCCTTTTTGGGGCTTCTGAGTGCTCCAGCTATTTAGTGAGGTCTTTCCATTCTGGCTGGTTGAGGCTTGAACATCTCCCAGCTCCAGGGATTGTCCGTCAGTTACCCAGTTCCCTACTTGTCTCATGGAGTTGCACTTTACACGTGTGCAGTTTTGTATTCAGCCAAAGACTCAAGGGGATCCTATGAGGTTTTCTAGAGTTCTATATGTAGCCCCTCCTTACTAGTAGTCTTTCTGTAAAATAATCAGATGTGAGAATGAAGATTGAATATACAAAGTTGTTTGTCATAGTCCACTTATGCTGCTATAACAAAATAATATAGCCCGGGTGGCTTATAGACTACAGAAATTTATTGCTCGCAGTTCTAGAGACTGGAAGTCTTAAGGTCAAGACTGGCCGATTCAATGTCTGGTGAGAGCCCACTTTCTGATTCATAGTTACCTCACTGTGTCCTCAAATGCTGGAAGAGGTGAGAGAATGCTCTCAAGTCTTTTATGAGGGCACTAATTCCAGTCATGAAGGCAGAGCCGTAATCACCTCGTGAAGTACTAATCCCAATATCTTGGGATTAAGATTTAGCATAGGAATTTTGGGACACAAACATTCAGTCTATAGCATTGTTCACTTCAGTTCTATTTATTTCAACATTACTTATATTAGCAAAATTTTGGAAGAATGCTGAATTTCTATAGTAAGGGAATGGATAAATACATTTATAAAATGCTTTTAAAGATTACTGACACGGTTATTGTGATGGTCAGTTTCATTTGTCAGTTTGGCTAAGTTACAGTCCTGGTTATTCAGTCAAACACTCATCTTGGCATTGCTGTCACGGTATTTTGTGGATGTGATGCAAGTTAATAATTGGTTGACTTTAAGTAAGGGTGATTGTCCTAGGTGATCTGAGTGGGCCTGATCTATCAGCTGAAAGCCTGAAGAACACAGCAGAGCTCCCCTGACGTAGAAGAAATTTCTCCGATGGACAGCAGCTGCACTCAGTTTCTGGAGAGTTCCACATTGGCCTGCTATGTGGATTTCAGACTGGCCTAGCCAGCCCCCACAATCATGTAAGCCAATTTCTTGCAGTAACTCTCTTAATAAATACATTTATCCCTTGGTATCTGCAGGGGATTGGTTCCAGGTCCCTCGTGGATACCAAAATTCATGGATGGTTAGGTCTCTTACATAAAACAGTATAATATTTGTGTATAACCTATGCACATTCTCCCGTATACTTTAAATCATCTCTAGATTACTTACAATCCCTAATACAGTGTAAATGCTATGTAAATACTTGTTACACTGTATTATTTAGGGAATAATGACAAGAAGTTTGTACATGTTCAGCACAGACAAAACAATCCTTTTTTTTTTTTTTTGAATTTTATTTTATATTTTTTGATACTGCATCTTGCTCTGTTTGCAGTGACTTGATCTTGTTTCACTCTAGCCTCTGCCTTCTGAGCTCAAGCGATCCTCCCACCTAAGCCTCCCAAGTAGCTGGGACTACAGGCGTGCACCACCGTGCCCAGCTGATTTTTGTATTTTTTGTAGAGATAGGGTCTTACTATGTTGCCCAGGCTGGGGTCGAACTCCTGAACTCAAGTGATTCACTCGCCTCAGCCTCCTAAAGTGCTGGGATTACAGGTGTGAGCCACCATGCCTGGCCTTTTTTTGGGAGTATTTTTGATCTGCAGCAAATATTTTGATCAATATTTTTTGGGAATATTTTGATTTGGGATATGGAACCCATGGATAGCGAGGACTGACTATATCTGCTGCTTCTGTTTCTTTGGTGGAACCTTGACTTATACAGATATTTTCATGATAATGTTAAGTGAGAAGGGGAGAATTAAAACTATATAGTCTAACATCAAATTTGAAAACTTTAAAAATTATATATGTAGAAAAAAATGTAGAAAAAAAGGCTGGAAGAAAATAATAGTAGTAATCCCAGAGTGGTGGAATTGTGTTCTTCATTTTTATCTTTGTCGCTTACTATATTTTCTAATTTTTCTGTAATGACCATTTATTTTGTTTCATTAATTTTTTTGTGTGCCTTTTATGATCTCTAAAAAATGAAAAGAGGGGACTGGTTTTGATTTCTGAGTAATAGACTAGAATAGCTACTTTGTTGTTTTATAGAGACCCTATTTTAAAATTCTTGAACCAATGAATTATGTTCTGGGTTAGAATTAGAGTTAGTTTTGTGAGTTCTACCTTAAAAATAAGTATAGAGTGAAGACTTGCATATGTTTCCGGAAAGGTAACCTTTCTACTTGGTAGCTCTTTGTTCAGAATAGACTGGTATTGCGAGAATCCTAATCAAACATTTCCAAGGACTGGAACATTCTCAGCTTCAGTTACTTGTTTTCCTCTAACAAAACAGGAAGTTGTGGCACT